CTGGTGGCATCGCTCTTTGCACGAGGGCCGGCAGATTGCCAGCCAGTCATGACCATCGCAATCTGTCCCGCCTTCCCTGCGTGGCTCTTCTGCCGGTCGGTAAGTTATGAGTCAGAGGACGCGGCGCGCGTAAATAAATAAATTTACACCCACCGCCCCACAGAATAAATATCGATTTATTCTAGTATTTATCGCATAATTATTCATTATATATTAATAATTTATTATTATTGATATCTTGGGACCTTGCGAAGTGATGGAAGTGTTGATTAATCATTCCTGTTGTTCGCATGTTTTTTTTCGAATTTAGCCGATGCATTGTCGTTGTTTTTATATATACACTGGTCCACAAAAAAGTGACTCATTTTGAAATTTTGATTTTTTTTAAATGTAACTGCCTTTTCAATTAAACACCGATATTTTTTATATTTCATGTATTTATTGAAAGATATGGCCAGGGGTGAAAATAGAAATGCCTCTAAAAACCAAACAAATTATTACAATTTTATCTTTATTTCTTACACTCTAATTCTGGCTTTTTCTCATTTTTCCCTCTCTTCTCCCACACAAATTTACCCTTTTTCTCTCTCACTCATACTACCACTCAGTGCCACACTACCATTACTATTACTATTTATCCCAGCAATTGTGTGATACCAACTACGGACGGAATTTAGCCGGCATAGTTGTTAGGTATAAAAATCCAGTGCAATAATTTGCATCTAAACAAATTAAATTTGACAGCGAACAGCTGCATTTCATTGCGGATATTTTGATTCTCTGGCACGCGATTCCAAAATGCAATTATAGAAGTAGATTCGTCCTGCATTTACAGTTGAAATCTGGCAAAAAAATGGGTTCAGATAACTAGATTAATATTTTTAAAATTAAAAGGTTTGTTAGAATTCCGCTGCTATTATTTTCTCAGATTTTCTTTGTAATAGTCTAACACTTAGTTACACATAAAAGTACTTAGACTTTAAAAAAGAAATCACTGCTTTCTGACTGTGTCTTCTTTGGTATTAATTTTAATTTGCTTTTACTTGCGGGAAAAGATTAAGTATTTTACTGTTGTTTTCTCCCTTTTTGGAGGAAAAAACATAAGGGCTGTGAAGGTAAATAAAATAAAAATCCAAAATGATCGTTCCCAAGAAAAGGCGAAATTAAGATTCTAAACTAAATTCATTAAATTTCGTGGTACGATTGACCAAATAAAATAACCTCTTTCAATTAATCAAGCTATTGGATGAGATAAAAAAGCCAGTTCCACGAGCGGGATTAGATTGAAAAATGGCAAAAAGGAGGGACAATTCAAAATGTGGGGTTGAGATGGGAAGTTGGTGTCCAAGTGGATCGAAGTCACGATAACTCAAGCGGTAGAACAGCGGCGTATTTAGCCGAAGGTCTTGGGTTCGAATCCCGCTCGTGACACTGGCTTTTTATCTCAACCAATACCTTACATAAAGATTAATTAATTGAAATACTAAATTCAGTTAGGATCAAATCAATTAGTTTTCTTTCCTTACGAAATTAATTATTTGTGTATGTTCTAGCATATCTGTAAGGAACTTTGATTAAGTCAGAAAGCAGTGATTTCTTTTTTAAAGTCTAAGTACTTTTATGTGTAACTAATGGTTGATTATAACAAGATATTAGTCATTGTAAGAAGAAAAAATAAATCACAAGTGCAGTTGATGAAGAGCCAGCGCACTGTTCATGTTTATGCTTTCAAATTGTAATTCGATATTTTGCCTCTTGTATTGTACTGTATGTAGGGTTAAGTTAAATATTCAGAAGTTTTACCATTGATTCTAGATTTATTTATAATGATTGTAGTGCATGTAGATGCACCATTCAGCTGCAGGCCGTACAGGCTTCAAACCTTTCCACGATCGCACGAATCAACCGGGTCCGATCGTTTGTTACTTTTGGCAAATCATCAAAGTTTAAATCTTCATAAATATTAAACCGGCCGGCAGGGGGCTATTTTAAGGATGAAGGTCCACGGAAAGATACGTCACACGTCCAGCGTGATGAAACGGCATTTATTGACTGAACGAAGTGTAACCAGTCGCCCGTTTGTGTGCCTAGAAGCAGAAACGACCCTGGTTTTTCCGAGACCACTCGTGGGGAAAAAAACTGTCGCTAAATATTTGTTTGACGCCTGTGTCAGCGGATAATCATGAAGATGATGTCATTTCCTCCTCGTCCTCTTCCCCTCCAGTCTTTCCACGGCGTTCAATTGATACGTAAACACACAATAATTGATCAAGGGGAGGCCGCTGTTTAGTAGGTTGGATCGCTTAAATGAACAGGACTGCAACTGCTCATAATGATACGTGGGATTCCAAATCCATTCCATATTTCAAACAATTGTATCGATCTATTTATTCAAGTCATCTTGCTAGCCCGTTGTTTTATCTTTGGAACAAAAGTAGATCCTTTATTCTAAGTCCGGCTATTCTTGCTGTTTGGGTGTGTCAGGCGCTTTTCTGCATTTCGCTACCTCTCATTCGAGGGATTATGTAATTCTTATTGTGTAAAAAAATTTTTTTTAAATTTGTAGTACATTACAACTACCTTAAAGTAGGTAACAAGTAACAGTGAGCAAGGTAATATATACAAAATTAAAATCAAGATAGGAGAAAACACCCATTGGCATTACTCCAATGTTACAATAATATTGTTTGCTTAATTGATACGTGTGTCATTACATTTTCACTGTCATCACCATCACTTCTTAGGAGATCTCGCGGCCATTGTCTCTTCAGTCGGCGGGGAGGGTTTGAGGGGATTCGTCGGGATGCGAGGTTTCTGATGTGCTGATTTAAGTTGGGAGGTTTTTATGAAATTTACGGTAACGGAAACGTAGTATTTCATCTTGTACGAAAGGGATATGTAAATCTGTTAGTGTAGTTTGGTTCGAAACATAAAATGGAGTATTTAATATTTTTCGTAATATTAAAGATTGGGCAGTTTGAATGCGGTGGATGTTGGAATGTTTGGCTCCCACACTTTCAGTCCGTAAGTCCAAATCGGCTTATGGTGTTGTAAAGCAGCCTTTTATTTTTGAGAGGTAAATTAGAACGTTTGACAAGAAGTTAATATTTAATATGAAATAACTACACGTATCTGAACTCTGTCTAGTTAAGCTAGTCGTTATGTTTAAACAGAATTTCTTTCAGTTTTGTCGTTCTCGGTTTTCCTCGTATGTATGTCAAGCGCATTTGCCTCTTCCTGCTTATTACCCAGACCAATGCTTATTACCCAGACCAATCGCTGTGCATGCCGAAGTGGCGAAACACTGAAAAAGGACAGTTATTTTTGTCGTTAGTTATGCTTTAAACATGATTTTTCTCTCTTTATATTCAATTTTTCAATATTTTGATTGTGATAAAAGTTGTTTTAATACGATTTGTTAATTGTATTTTACAAATCTAAGACATGCAATAGCTCTAGCTTTGTCTGTTCGATGTTTCTCCATTGGTTTGGGATCTGTCTTCTTGTCTTACCCTGCTTATAGACCTGGCAATTCAATTTACCACTAACGACGTTGAAAATTGTGAAATTTGACATTTGAAAAACAGCAAGGATCACGAAGTTCTCCCAATGTTTTGCGATTAAACTAGGTTTTTCTTTTCTGTTAAGTTGTTCACTATCTTAATTATAAAGTAGTCAGGATATAGTAAGAGTTTTGATTAATTTAACATTAGAAATGTAAGGCACATAACAGCTCTTTAAATAATGTACATCATTACGTGATTTATTAACGAAAAAGTAATAAGTAATTACAGAAAGATTATGACGACCATGGTTTAGTCTGTCAGACGTGTGTAACTTTTGGCTTGAATTTCGTTTTGTTTCTCGGCCCGCTTATAACCTCGAGCAACTTCTGAATATAATCAAGAATGAAGGAGAAATCTCACAAAATAAGATAATTCTAAATCACTTTTTCCCACTTTCCTCTCTTTTACGAATATTACCTTCTCAAAGCATCGAACTTAAAATGCTTAAAAACTAAATTATGCTCTAAGGAAAAAAATATCTTCTTTCTTGTTATTTTCCTGTTCATTAATTGATTTGATTAAATCGTGGTATATAAAGGAAGATATGAAGTCACTGGTTTTTTCTTCTAACGCATGTCACCTTTCCATTGGATTTTCTTTTCTTACCTCGACCTGTTTATAACCCTGAGCGACTTGGGAATACAATAAAGAATCAAAAAGAAATCTCATGTATGAGATTCTAATACAATTTCACGAATTGGTCGAATATTCCATTTTTAAACAAACTTATAAAGTTTGTCATAATTTTCGCTTTAAGCGTAAAATTGATCTTTTTCCATCTTTTGTTAATCCCTTCATGAAATATTACATTTTAACTAACTAATAAAATATTTCGTAGGTTTTGCTTAAACAAAATGTTTTTTTTTCTTTTTTCGTGCTTATTTCCAATCTTTTAATTGATATAATTAGGAGGAAGTCTTTTATTTATTTTATAATATCTTTCATTGGTATACTTATATTTATTTTTTTGTGTTACTGCCTATGAAGAACTGAAAATGTAGATTGTACCTTAGTGGTAATGCAATGTAAACTACAGAAAGATCATGATTTCAATTTTTTTTCGGGCGTGTATGTACCTTTCGCTTGCATTTTGTTTATTTGTCTGGTCCTGCTTATAACAAGGACAACGTCTGAACACGACGAAATGCCGAAATGTTTCTGTCAGACCAAATCATTTACACTAAATCTCACAAAGTGATACTTCTAAATTAAATTTCCCGTATTGGAGTTCTACTCTTTTTGATGCCTTCATGAAATATTCATTTGTAAAGCATCTAACTTCAAAAAATTTTCGTTTATAGAGTGGAAAAAGTAGCTTCATCGGACTACTCTTTGGTCCGAGTATCTCCCTTCATAAAAATCAACAAAAATTGCATGTTATCTTCGTTTTATAACATACAGTTTTTATAACTTATTTCTTTTTCTTTTGTTCAGGAGATCGCGGTGGTCCAAAAGGCCCAGGTGATAAGAGGCCAGATCCAGTCCGGGAATCAGAGGAAAAAGGTGGAAGACAGACGCCTCATGAAGCCGCGGACGATGCCAACCACCACCTACATGACATGTAAGTGTGCCACTATTTTGAATTTCAGACTTATTCAAGCGTGGAATGGGCTCTTTACAGAATTAGTGTGGATTCTGTGACGTTGGAATGGTCGACTATAAAGTCCGAAAATCTAATATAGGATAAAGGGAGCTTAAGCACGCTATCTCTCTTTAATAGTTGGGTCGCGTGTCGGCCTCTTCTTCTTCAATCGGCGACTGTCGACCAAGTTCATACAAGGCTTACGTTTTGTTTATAAGGCTTGGATTTAATGGAATTTTATGCTTATTTATATAATTGAAGCCCTTCAGGACGGATCTACGGGGTGTCAACCTCAGGGTTATTATGCAACATGACCAGGCGTCGGGTGTGTTCCCCGTTTAAGAACCTAGAAAATCCGCACATTCGATTCCGAAAGGTTCTGATTTTGTCTGAGTAGTTCTTCCATATGGAACCGGCAACAGTGGTAAAAACCGTTTTGGCGATAGTTAAAATGAAATGAACGATTTTGAGACTTAATTACCTTAGAATCTGCCGAAAGAACAATTTTATTGTACATTATTCACAATACTCTATTAATTTTTTTATATATGTGATCTATGTTAAGGTATAATCCTGCAAGTTATATCAATTTTGGTTTATTGGTGAAAGTATCTACCCAGTAAATATGGGTTGTCAATGGTTCCATGACATCAGTCCCAAGTTAATTATGGTTGCCTGACGCTAAGTGAAGAAGTGTGTCCTGGGCTCGATTCATCAAAGAAAAAAACATTAAACAAATGAAAAAAATAATATGTAAATAATTCGGGCGTCACACTATTTTTTCAGGAATAGTGAACCTTCAAAACACTTTACAATACATAAGGCAAATTAAAAGGCTTTATAAATACGACAAAATAAAATTGTACGTATTATATTGCAAAAGTAAATTTTAAAAAAAGGATGCACTTATTAAATTCAATTACTAAATTAATTATCAATACAATAAATAAAAACCCTTACAAGTTGGCCAACTCTACATTTTACAAAATTAAACAAAATCCTGTTTTTATGGATTTAAAAAAGACGCTGGGTCCCAGGAAGTCCTCCGAAGTCATTTATAACCAGGATAAATTCTCCAAACTTCAGGAAACTATAATATTTTCACTTTTTCCACTCACACATAGCGTTCGTCTCGATCCGACCCACTGACGATTTACTTTTAAATGTGCAATTATAGCGTTAAACTACTGTTACAAATTGGTAACTTTTGCCTGATGCCTAACTTTAGCCTTGAAACTATGCATAGTAAATATCCTAATTGAAGTAGACGTATATTACAAAAACATAACAACAGGCACTATGATACCAGCAGATCTCATCCATGGACCCGTAGAGCTGTTGGATTTAAGACCGTGTGTTGAAACTCTCTTTAACACCCGTTAATTAATTATAAAAAAGAATTACAAACAATTAAAACGTGAAGGATTTAGTCTTGCTCTTAGAGGTGCTTGCTCATTTAGAAAAATCGCCTCAAAACCTACAGGCAAGGGTGACGTCTTATTAAGAAGTGGTTTACAAACTTGCTTGTAATGATTGAAGTATCAAATAAATAGGAGAAGCGGCTGGGAAATTAAAGATAAAGAACAGTTGCCTCTAATCGAACAAATTTTCTGAATTTTAAGGATAAACTAAGTGATACAAAGTATAACTAAAATTCAATTTAAACACACACTTTTACACAGATTCAATGAAAGGGAGGGAACTAGATTCGTTCGAATAAATTGGAAAAAAATGCATAAATAGTGTAACAGATTTTGATTGACTTACAATTTACAAGCTTTAATTAAATAATATTCGACATACAAATAATCCCTAATTATTTATCTTTCAGAGTAGATATTAGGATAATATTTCGTTAATATTTATTATGTTAATATTTACTCAATATAATGTATTACTGTAATTCGCGTTTTTTGCACGTTCAAAATTGCTTTGGCTGTGGATTTACAAGTCACATTTACAATTCACGTTGAGAGACTTAATCTTATGATGAGCATTTAATTCTCGAAATCCGGATAGTTGTTAACAACAATTTTGAGAAGAGAAACATCGTTTACAAAAAATGTCTATAATTGTTGTCCAATTTTTTGACACTTCATGTTTCAGATTGATTATATAATTCACAACAAATAGAATAGAATAGAATAGAAATAGATAAATTGACGATAAATCTAAAACTGAACGACCCGTGTAGAAGTCAGGGGCGAACGACGTAAACCCGCCCGAACGACAGAGAGGGGAACATTTCCTAACAGATAACAGAGCTTCCTCTTCCCTCAGTAAGTTAAGCCCAGGCTTATTTCCAGTCCGTTCTTGGCTTTCGGCTAAGCGCTTTTCGCCCGAGCCGCCGGATATGTTCCAGAGGAACCATCCACTACCTACGTAAGCTTCCAAGTATCTGTTCTCCGATTTCTTTATCCTGGGGGGGGGGGCTCTATTTTTCGCTCCTAACCCTATTCCAACTCTGCGCTAAATTAGATTTTTTTTCCTCCCGCTATTTTGCCAAACCAGACATTTTATGTTTGTCGCAGTGTTATAAATCAGGGTCTCCTAGGCGAATAACATCACCCTGATTTTACCTTGCATTTATGAAGTATAAAATGTCTAAATTCCTAGACTGCATTTATAATTTAAACAGCTTGGCTATTTTCAGTTCATAAGAGATCAATGATTCGAAGAGCTGACGTTAAGTATTTATAAAATTGATTTTTATTGGCCTATATGATTTAAATACAACAAAAGAGACTAAATTACACAATAAAAGTGAATTTTTTAAATCAGAACTTGACAAAATTTAACGCTGTTGAAGAATTACAATTTAGATAAACGGATGTTTCAAAAATTCTCAGAGCTTATAAACGTTTTGTTCATTTAACCAAATACTCCGTGTTTTAATTAATTAATTGATACAGTATTAATATGACTGGTATTCAGTTTAGTTTTTAAAAAAGAAAAGATTTCTAGCAAAATTAAACCAATTTTCCTTAATTAAATACGGGCAAAAGGTTTCATTTTTCCAGTGTACATACGGTTTGTCCAAGAATTTGTATGGTTTACATAACACTCCATACGTTTTAACTTCTGTTATGGACTTTAAACGAGGCTTTATTGGATGGAATTGCAAATTGGTGCGAAGCCCGTTAATTTAATGTAATACAGCCCTACTTGATCTGGTTGGGCAGTTATATCGAACGATATTAGCTTATTAATATTCGTTAATTAATTATTTTTCACGATTACAGTTTTCCGGATTTGTGGTGATAAATTGTGAAACTTAGGATCAAAACTTATCGACCCTCCGAAAATAGGTTGATCGCGTAAACCTTGGATAACTAATAAACAAATCTCATGTTCTGGGTTTTAATTAACTAAATACGGTTAATGTGATTAGGTTAAATTTATGATCAATTTTTAATCGATTTAGAGATAGCAATGATTTTTGGCATGGTATACCATGGCTTATTGAATCAAACAACTTCAACATTGTATATGTGGGTAAATTCTGGAATGTTATAACGGTCGAGGCGTATTTATTCCCAAATTTATGTTTTATTAACTACAATATTAATAATAAATAACATACTAACTTTATTAGTCGGATATTCGTAGTCTCGAGTTCCTTGTCTGTGAATAGTTCGTCAGACGCGTTTCGGCAATTCGCAATCTTCGCAGTTCCACAAGGCAGGCCAAAATAGCGAGAATAAGCGGCCCAGGTGGTCAAAAAGACGAGACTACGAGGTTGTGATGCCTAATGAATATCGGAGTATTTTTTGTAGTGTAGTTTTGTAATGGTTTTTAAACTTTTATGGAGTGTAACTAAGTGCAATGGAAAACTTGCAAATTGAACTATGGCAAAGTGTATCTGATTAAGGTAATTAAAGTAAAATGGGACTCCCTGGCTATACTCGCTGATATGGTTTGTCAGAGCCTGGATGAAAGTTGTCTCGCATGTCAACATTCTGATGATCCTCCCTGGAAAGTAGACGTTACTGAACTACTAAACGACACTAATAAAACAATAAAAAATGATCAAATGGAAGTGGTAGCATAAGTAAATCGGATCAATAGAAAAATTCCTCCCGATAAATCTAAACGGCGAGGATATTACGATTAGGGATTTCGATGATCTGAAACGACCAAAATGCAGGTTCATCATTCAACATTGATTTTTGGTACTGACCTGCGACGTAGTGCATTAATATTTTTATCACTACATCCATTGAGGACCTTTACAACACATAAACCCATAGGTTAAAAACTAATTCTGTGGTTGGCATATGCATTAGAAATTTGGTATCATAGGGGTTAGGAGTTCAGGTTTAGGAGCCACAGGCAAAGAACAGGCGATGAAAGGACCAATTTATAAATTTTATCTAGTTTACTGGATTTATCAAAATTAACTACTTTTATTTGAATTTTATTTATCTATATTTCCTTTCTTTTAATCCACAGCCGATCCATTTTTAAGTCTACATCATCAGGTCCTTATGCACTGTGTGATGAAGGGATATAATCTAGTGTGACCTAGGTGGGCAGACACGTTTTTAAAGTTCAGGCCAAATGGTTAAAAATTACATCAATTTTGATAATTCGTCAATATTGGTTAGTTTTGGAATAACATATTTCCAATGTTAACCATGTCAAACAAACCCAGTCCCTCCTGAATGAGGTCTATACGGTCAACTGCCGCCTTTGTAGAGGCTAAAATAAAATTTAATGATACTCTCTTGTAGTTAATCCAGTTTGATCAGTTTGTACAATTTGATATGTATCTTGTTGACTGGGGAATTTAATTAACACTTGGCTAAAATAGCGACTAGGAAAAGGGGTGTAGGTTTGAACTAATTCTTTCGAACTCTGCAGTAGCATAACTTTTAACTATGTAGTATCTTATATTATCTTTCGTTCTTACATGGTTGATTGATTATTGATTTTGTTCCAGATCGCAACATGTCACAAAAACAAAACCGAATAGTGCGTCCATCAACAGGTCCGAGAGCTACAAGGAGCGGATACACCAAAAGGTAAGTTGTCTTCTTTCCTTTTTTAGTCATAGTCTGGGGACGTTTTTGTCTCATGGCAGTTTCAAAGAGAATAAATATCAGTTTGGCGTGATGAATTAGAGATTTTGTAATTGCTTAGTTTGTCGGAGGACGTGGCGTGGGATGATAGATGCCAGCAAACCTGCGTCTTTACCTTACCGGTTGCAACGACCGCTTCCGTTCCATGGTCATTACCGACGTCTGCCACTTGGCTTTAGATTGCTATTTGCGGCTTAATTATTGAATATTCCGAAGTTACATGTAAATTATATCCGAATATATAATAAATATAAAAAAATTCTTTGGTTATTTCATGCGGTTGATGCTTTCGCTCTGACTCACTCGAGGAAATAAAAGATAACAAAAATGGTTTAAAATAGAGACATTCTGGTCTAATTGTGATATTTGTTTTTATCGAATGATTTCAGTCATTAAAACCGTCATTACTTATTTGACAAACGTGCATTATGTCGTACACTCAAAGTTTTAATCTTGATTCCGTTGTTCAAAAAGGCAGAGAACTGTATATAATCGATTTTCGTTAGCCTCTAATATTATTGTAGAGGCGAGAGTGATAATTTGAGACAATGGTCCTATGGTACTTTGTTAAACCGCGGCCGGGTTGAACGCACCGGCACGCCTGGGGAGCTAACGGATCGTCTTTAGTAAGCCCGAACATAGGACTTACATCGTTACTTTCGCCCTGTACAGTAATACCACGGAAAGTAAAATAGGAATAACGGGCTGGGTCCTTACAGCATGGTATAATCGGTGATAAAGAAGTTACCGCAGGAACTGACAGAAAATAATATTTTTCTTTCACACCTTGTTGCTTGTTAGAGGATGCTGAGACGGGTATTTTACATTTACCCAGGGGTTTTTCTCTGAAATTTCTTCCCGTCTGCTAAATCTTTTGCTTGAGTAAATACATTCTGTAATTTGGAAACAGCAATCCTACAGTGGAATAATAAAAAATGTATTTATTTTAATAAGGTCATATACAAAATTTTGTTTTATCCTCCAAAAGAACATTATACACGCGAGACAGTAGAAATGATTGATTCTCATGCTTAAATATCTTTCTAAATCGATTTGTAAGATTTAAACTATCTGTTTCTTGAAGTTATTCTTTTCACCGGAGAGGTTGAACACACCTTGCCGGTGATAAATGTGATGATTCATGTTCTTGGAGTGCTTTATCCTTCCGTTTTGAAACTTACCAGATTTGCAAGGCCCTTTATTTCACCTTGTACCTAGTTTACAGAGTACTCCTTAAAATATTATGTCCATAATATATAAAATAAAAATCATGAGTTTTTTTGTTGAGGTACGAGGGGGTGAATTTATAATTAATTTAACCCGATCATTCAGACCCGCATATTCTCGCTGGTTTGACCTATCAGAATCGTTTCGGCATATCGCCTTCTGCTGATGTTGGTCAGGATTATAAGCAGAGCGAGGTGGCAATCCTTCTAGACGAATGCCGGAACACACCTGACAGTCCAAACCGCCCTGGATAGGCTGACCAAGTTGGCTCGGAACTACTTACGTACATGTTCTCCACACAAGATCTCAATAAAAATTTCATTATAGATTTTATATATTATTATTAATTGTAAGGAGAAATTAAATGAAGAATAACTTGTTTGGATAGCTCTTGTTTTCCTCGCTGATATTTTTCTTTTAGACGGGTATTTTGCCATCTTCAGTGGTCAGTCAGGGATTTAAGAAGGGCGAAGAATCACCAAATGCTCCAGTAAAACGGTGAATCGCAGGTTGACCGAACAACTGCCATAGAGTAGTTGTGAAAATTCTAGTTCGGGTTTACATGGCGATAATAGTTTGGATCATTTCACTTTATCCTGATTATCTCATTCTCGCTGTTTAAGTGTGCCGCGTTTCGGCGTTTTACCATCTTCAGTGGTTAGTCAGGGTAGAAGCAGGGTGGGCAAGTTCATGAAACCACCATTGTTTTCCTTCTAGCAAACCTTTTTCGACATTTCCCAATCCGCAGAGGTGGGATCGATGCTGCCAAATCACTTCAATGACCTGATATTGATTAACCCCTAGTTTTGGTCTGTCAGACACCTTTTGACATTTCTGCATCTTAAGAATGTACAGGCATGTATTCAGGATGAAGCACCTAAACCAAATCCTCCAGTAAAATTGACGAATTTTGAACGTTGAGATTGACCGATTGATTGCATTGGCATAAACTACTTGTGAGGATTTTCGCTGATTTAGTCCGTCAAACGCGTTTCGATATATTTAGTCGCTGGTCAGGATTATAAAAAGGGCGAGACGAGAACAATTCCATCCAGGCAGTAGTCGAAACACGTATGACAGATAGTAACTTCTATAGTGAATACTATTTATAACCCTGACGATCCTCTTTAAGATGACAACCGAAGATGAGCAGACCTTTTTATAAAAATATGATAGAAATATAAATAATGTCACCTGGGTAGTTTAAGTGGTTTCAATTAGTCGATTTGATCGTTGAATTTCAAAATCATTAGATCATTAAATTATCTTAAACCAAGTATTTTAAATTTGTCAAAATGTGAACCCATATGAAATAAAATCAAGAGGAAAAATAGAAAATTAAAAATTTTAATTGGTGTTCAACTTGTTCCGTATCATTTATCTCACCCAAACGCCGCAGACATTATTTTCTCCCTGCTTAAATTTGCCAATTACCAAGAAAAATAAACACCGAGTATGTTTGAACTTTGAGGTATCTGCACAACAGGTTTACTTCTTATTCAATCACTCTTCGAACTGACTATGGGCGGATCAAGCAATCAGTGTAGCTTCAAGGCTTATCTTTTCCTTTTTACATTTCAACGGACAAAAGGTTTTTAAAGCCTCGCTCGACTATTCCTTGGGTGTTGGTTTCGTGACCTCGCGGTTGTTGGCATTTTTCAATTTCAACCACGTGATTCCCACGGTCTCCGGAAAAAACGAACCATCGCGTTTACACAGTCGATTAATTTGAAAACGCTCATAGAACACTGATGAATATGAAATGCGACATTTGGTGTACTTTTTTGTAATATTTTGCTTTTATTTGCAGAGGCAACTCCGGGAAAGGAGGAAAACCAGCGACCCCAACCTTTCCAAGTCGAACAAGTAAGTCGTTTCTTTGATTTTTTTGATTATTGCATTTTGAGCATGGTACAGAGAAAACGTAGATTTTAGTTGATCTGAAAGAGATTTCTTTTTCTGCTTAAACCAATTTAATCGCTTTTTTGTGGACTTTTTGAATATTTTTTATTAGGACGTAGAGATATATTTACAAAATCTTAGCTAATTGGGACCAATTATATTTATCAGAACCATGTCATACCTTTTTAATGTTCTTAAAAACGTTCAAACACTCTTAGAAAACTTGGTACTTGAATCCTGAATTTCTTTTTAATAAATAAACATAGTGAACCGGATAGACTTAGGCTCTTAGACCGCGCGGTGGTGGGTTCGATTTCTACCATACCACTTTAATTTTTGGACCCCTCCCCAAATAATAAATCTGCTTACTAGGTTATGTAATATGGAAAATATAGAAAAAAAATTAGGTATTCATCACAACCATAACCCTCCGACTTTGTCATCCATCGCGAATCCATGGTACTATGTCAGGATTGTCCACTATAACCTTGTTTTTTGACGACGGAAAACTGATGTTCATTATCAAGTATTTATTCAATAATATAAAATCTTTATGTATATCTCTTAACAGGGATATTTTTTCGAAGTATATGTGTAGACAATGTCAAGTTTTAGCAGAAACCCTTTATTAGTAACAAAAGTTCCATTCCTTTTAAATTTTTCCTATAGATCATTGGAGTGATTAACCTATATGTAGGTTGTATTCCACCATTCTGACCGCCTAACCCCGCTGTTTTGGTCTTGGTGATTCGTCATCTTCCGCGATTTGTTAGGGGTATAAGCAGGGTAAGGCAAGTCCCGAACTTACTTTCTTCGTTAGAATAGTTAGGGGAACATTTTCAGACGGTGATGAAAAGAAGTTTATCACTTACTTGTTCATCTTAAATACCAAAATGTTAACCACCTTGACCAACTGCGAAATGCACCTGACTACCCAAACCAGTGTGGATAGACAGGTCAACATGTTCGGAAACAACCAAACAATAGGTTCATAACTCATAGTTCTCATAGAGAAATTCATAAATCTTTGCGTTTAAGAAATATTAAGAATAATTCTTTGCCAGCAATTTTGGTTGAAATTTGAGTTACTAGTCAAGAGGTCCTCTGGATTTTGTAGCAGATCCGCCAAAGACATGCTGGAAAAATATAATGTGCTATTTAACCTCCTGGTTATGGTATAGAATCTGTAACAAATTCTAAAAGAATTTCCTTCTACAGTAACTCAAATTTCATCTAAATTGCTTGGGTTGAAGAACTGTATTTAACATTTCATAAATGCAAAGATTACTAAATTTCACTAAGAGGACTGGAGTTCGGACATTTCAGATCATTTTGTTGTCTACCCGCGCTGATTTTGACTGATCTTGACGGCTTTTTGGCATTTCGCCGTCTTCAGCAGTTGGTCAGGGTTATAACCAAATAGAGAGAAAATCCTACCAGCTTCTAGGATGGCTGGTAATGCCCAAAATATAAATATATCCTTTTTCCAATAGTTTGCAAACGAAAAAAAGTTAAAGTCAGTTGAGGAAAGGTTCGGTGATGATGGATGTCTTGCAAAGATCTTCATTGGATCTCTATGAGGTTTACGTTGATATGTAGAGGCGAGCGTTATCTCATAAAGAACAGGCTCTCTTAGGTTGACCAGAGAAGGTTGCTACTTTTTGCAAATTTTCATAAAATAAAACGAGACAATTGGGAATATCTATAAGCAGACAAACTCATATCATGAAATTACTTGTGTTTTTTGTGGTGCATATATGTAACTAGAATTAAAATTATAAAAATGGCCAGCTCTCATAAAATAATAGTGAAGGCTTTTTCCCTCACAATAGTAACTCTGTTACCACGTGCCACATAATGAATAACGTGTATAATGTACAAATAGAATAAACAGATATTTATATTAGGTCGGCCGTGGCTGTCGGGGTGTTTCAGCCGTTGTGCCCGTTCTCCCGCCTTGCTTGCTTCCCACTCACGCTGGTCATGGTAGTTTGAGAAGTCATGGGTAATATATCATTAACCCCCCCCCCCCAAAAAAAAAATATATATATATATATATGCCAAATTGGGAGTAGATAATGAAAATATTAGCGTATTAAAAATAAAATGATTATCTTAGTAACGAAAATAACCTGAATATATACAAAATAAAACGTAACGCAAAGAAATGGACAGCAAATTTGCAACACTATTAAATTATATATTGACTTCATTAAATAAAACATAAAATTGCGAAAATGAAATAAGTATTATTGTTAATTAAAATGTTTTAAAATGGCACTATCTACTGGAACACAAGCAGGTACGAAAGGTAGAGTCCTGGAACCAAATGCTCGTAAACCACGGAAAAATACATCAATATCTTTCAAGCTGAAGCCTATGTAATCGAGAGATGCACTCAATTCAATTTAAATAAAGAGTACAAAAATAAGAACATAGCTATCATGTCAGATAGCCAAGCAGCTTCAAAGCATTAAGTTCAACATCATTAGTTCAAAGATGGTGCTGAAATGCAAAACCAGACTAAGCATATTAGGCATGCAGAACAAAAAGTCAGCCTCTGCTAGGTCCCGGGAAATGTGTGACTACAAGGCAACGAGAACGTGGACGCCTTTGCAAGAAAATGGGCTGCTATACGGCTGACCCGAACCCTTCTGTGGCATAGGAACACTATCAATGAGGACCTTAGACAGAGGGATAAAAAAGAAATTAAGGGAATAATGGAACTCACCCATTGGACATAAACAATCCAAGAACCTGCTTACTAACTTTGGAAAGAAAGAAGTAACCGAATGTATTAAGAGAAGCAGGAAGAAACTACGAAACCTAGCAGGACATTGCAAACTAAATGGACATTTGAAGATTTTCAAAACCACGGCGAGTGCAGATTCTACAAAGAAGCAGAGGAAACACCAACATACCTATTAACAAACTGTGGTGCTATACTTGCCCGCAGGAGAAAGTGCTTTGGGACTTCAAACGTAACCTTAGAAGAAATTCAACCTCTGAAACCACCGGGCCTACTAATCAAATTCCTAGATGAACTTGGACCACTCACCGATGTGCTATAAGCACAGAATGGGGGATTCAATAGCTCTTAAAGGACGCTGTACAAAATACACCCTGACTAATCATCTACATCTAATTAAAATATTCCAAATGGGATTTTGGGTAGAAATTCTTTTAATGGTGCTAATGTTTGTTTTTAAATTAATATAGGTCTTGTATTAAGTCACGCCTGTAAAGGTTCGACTAGACCACGCCGGCAGTGGACTGCTCTTTCATATACATATTAAATATTCTTTGAATGTACAATTCGAATTTTCTATAATATGAAACCTAGTTCTCCCATGTCCTGTGATTTTGAGTTAGTGTTTGTTTGGTGAAGGTTTGTAGGCTACAGGTTTAGGTTTCTGACCCTCTAGGTTATTAAATATTTTCATGGCAAAAAGGCTGATAGAGAACAACATGTTTCGAGTCGAGTGAACATATGCGCCTCGGTTAATTCATGCGGCACTCATGTTTCCAGCTTTTTAGTGAAAACTATCACGGCACTTTCTCCAAACTAAAGTTCTTTCCTTATACATAATCCAATTCCCAAGAGGTTTTCGTTGCAAGTTGGAACCAAAACGTTTTGTTGTCTATGCTTGTTACTAAGTTCGATGCCCTTCTAAAGCTTACTTTTTAAAACGGATAGTAATATTGTTGTTTGTAAACAATAAGGTTTTTTTAGTGTAAAAATAAACAACATTTCATTGTTCACTGTCTAAAAGAGAGTTTTTTTCTATGTCAATTTTTGATATCTAGTAAATGGTGTCGTGTGTTTGATGATGTGCCTGTTTTTTGTTGGTTGAACGAGCACACTGTTAAGTGCAGATTGATGAACGATCCGACTGTGGAGGCTGTGCGGCACGTGTTTGCTGTTATCGTCTCTCGGCCCAATCATCTTGTACACACATCGTCCCGGAGCCTTGTTAGCCCAGAATGGGACATTACCAGCTCGTCGATCGCCCCGGTGGAACCAGTACGTCATAAAGTTGCTACATCCGCTTGTAACAAGTCGAAGATAAAAAAAAATCGTTATATAGGACATCGGTTCGAGAGATGTGACCTCGTGGCCGGGCGCCAAAAGCGTCTAGACGGAATAATGTTTGACACGCCTATTTTCCTTAAAGCTGTTTATTTTTTGGACTTTTCGAAGGCCAAAAGTGGTGCACCCATCGGAATATAGACCGTATGGGTTGTTTCATTCATATTTTTCATTAAATTAAAGTTTTATTAATCAAATAACGCATATTCCATTTATTGGAGAGGGTCAAAATACAAGGAAATAAATATCATGTCATTATGAGATTTAAATTTATAAAGTTACAAAAACGATGGGGTATCTCATTGAGTCCTTTGGAGTGTTCTGTCGTATCTTATCATCCTAGTCCGTCTATCCTCGTTGTTTTTCGTGTAGCTGGCTCGTTTCGACATTTGTCATAATACTATTTTTTTCAATCCAAAACATTTTTGCATTATAAAAAATGACGTCATATTCATTTTGCCGGAAACCTATTCAGCCAATTTTTCAATTTTTACTTGTTTGATCTGATCTGAAGTGGTATGAATGTATATGATATATTCTCAAACCCCTCGAGTTAAAAGGTTTTTCATGTCCTGTTTGTTTTGTTTATTTCAAATTTTTGACCATCTAAACTTGAGATTAGGTTTGAGAGTATCGTTGAAATATATCGTGATGTCCATTTTACAATTTATTTTATATTTTGTATGAAAAGACAGTCCTGTCCTAAGAGGCCAAAACGATTGTCGTTCATTATTGTTTAAATGTAGTTCATTTGTGAAGTTTTATCATAAACTATTGTTATTTTAATAGTGAAATTTGGCAGAAATGAACGCAGTGTGAGACAACGCATTTTCTCTTGAAATGTGTTATTATTAAGTATGTTATGCAGTTTCCA